AACCATCAGCAAGCTATCTTTTTCTCCAGTTCAATTCAGCTACCAGGTGTAGGCCCAGAGTAGGAAGATAATTGAATTTAACTAGGGTTAAAGTTTGAAAAGTGAGTATGACAAAAATGAGCTAGAGAGTTGAGTGTGTATATAAGAGGGTAGTTATAAAGATGACCATGGAATTTAAGATGGATGATAAGGGCAGTAAGGGCATAAAAGGCTAATGTCTTTGAATAGCACCAAAGGATTGTTGATTCCAGTGGGATCAAAGGATTATTGGAGTCTGTATACTTAATAGGAAATGATGGTTAAAAAGTAAAATGCATAAATTTAAAATTATGGGGTTGGGGAGATTGCAGTTGTTGATAACGACCATAGAATTGTGTACTGAGGCAAGAGAAAGGCAAGATCCTTAGAGAACAATGAACTGGAAGGTCATGGTGTTGAGAAGATTATGAACATATATTGAAATCACTGAGAATTAGGCCCAGTGACATAATGGGGAGAGTATTCATGAGAAAGGAGCTAATGGCATGGATAATTGAAGGAAGTGACTTGGATTAGCTTGGTGTAGTCTGATGAGATGAAATTCTAAACTGGGAGACTTTGGATGACATCTCATGGTGCATATCTCTTCTCTAATATTTGGGGCATCATTTAGAGAAAAGATAGGGAAGCAGCACAATATAACAGTCTTACCCAAACCTGCTGCTTCCTTCAAGACCTTCCCCCAGCTTTAGTCCTTCAAGATAGTTGCCCTTTCTTTCCCTGTCCCTCGCCACCAGCCCTTCACACTGACTCCATGCACCTCTCCTTTGCTCCCATCAGTCACTTTCCTGGGGCCATGGTCATATGCTCTGCCTCAGTGGGGCTGCATGTTCCAGTTCACCATCATCTTTCCTGCTCTACAAAACCTCAAAGGTTAAAAGATCATAATATCATAATTAAACAAGTTAATTTATGTAATACCAGAAACTTTCTGTGTAGTACACTCTCCCCCAGCCCAGTATGTTCATTTTGTGCATAAAATTTAATTGTACTGTAACAAATAAACATTATCTGAGAG